TTTTTCAGTCCTGCTCCTTTTCTAGGCACATCTATGTTAGCACAGCTTCGTCATCTCTTCTCTACATTTGAAATTGAGCCTCTACCCAGTATCTTCTACAAGCCTCTTTCTCATTCAAAGTTGCCAGTTCCAGCAAGAGGTTTGCAGAAGGAATGCAGTCCTGTAGAGAGATCAGTCTGATGATCTCTGTTTTTTCTGTTAGGATAATTGATGGCCGGGATCTGATGCCTCTACTGCGAGGAATGGTTGCGCACTCAGAGCACGAGTTCCTGTTCCACTACTGTGGCATTCATTTACATGCTGTGAGGTGGCACCAGAAAGACAGTGAGTATACAGCCTCTCTTCAAAAAATTAGGTCTAGTCTACAGAAGGGCACACTGGCCTAACAGATTTTTTTCTGGGATTGCAGCTTTCCATGTAATTCCAGGTGTAAGGTGTTAAAGAACTTACTAGCATTGCCTGTATTGTACAGGACAAAGAGGTTTTTGTGGCTTCAAGGCACATGGCATGCCAGGCAGGCTACTGGAGCTCAGGATACGTCTCACCCACATCTCCACCTGAAAGCAATGCCTGAGGAGTCAGTACCCTCCTTGTCTCATAGAGAAGTCCTTGTCTCAGCCCTTTGTCTGTAGTCCAGCTACCTTAAAAGAGAAGTAAGCCATGGAATCCCAAAATCTTTTTTTCATGTTTTCATAAAAAACAAAGTGACTGATAGCTCGTACTTGCTGAAAACTTTGGAGAAATTTCAAAATGTCAGAAATCATTTTACATTATTGGTTTAATTCTGTGACACCTAATTTTAAATGAAATTAAAATACTATATCAACTAATAAGTGTAAAGCTGAAGTGCAAACAGAAATGAACTCTAGAAAAATATTCACTCTTCCCTGTGATAACTGCCAGTACCACTGCAAGCCTTCTGTGATTCTTTCTTTCCTGCCAGGTGGAGCCATTTGGAAGGCTCACTATGTGACCCCTATCTTCAGTCCTCCCGGAGCTGGGGCTTGTTATGATAGAGGATTTTGCCCATGTTTTGGGGAAGGTGTGACCCACCATGACCCTCCACTGCTGTTTGATCTCTCACGAGACCCTTCTGAAGCCAAACCTCTCTCGGCTGACACTGAGCCCCTCTTTGACACTGTCATAAGGAAGATTGGAAGAGCCATCGAAGAGCATCGCAGGACACTGACTCCAGTCCCAGAGCAGCTCTCTGTGTACAACGTGGTGTGGAAGCCGTGGCTGCAGCCATGCTGTGGGACATTCCCATTCTGCTGGTGTGATAAGGAAAGTGATAGTAAACTTGCTGACCTATAAAGGATAGAAACAGATACTTCCTCAGAAATGTATTTAGATTAAGAGTGTTTCCTTTGGGGGTGTTGATCAGTGGGTCATTTGTTTCTCTAAATGCAGCCTTTATATAAGAATTGTTCCAGTGAGTGGCACAGTATTTAGTAAAGGTGGCTATAGGCTGGACTCTCTCAGGGAGGGATTAAGACAGAATGATCTGAAGACTATGTTTTAACTTGCATCTGCTGACAACTGAATGAATAGTTCAAATGCACTGAAGCAGGTCAAGATTAGATCTGTACAAGTAATGATATAACATGTTTTGATGATTATGAATGTACACAGAAGCTTTGTTTTGGTTTTTTTGTGCTGAATTTCTAAGTGATTTCTGGACTGAGGTCTTCCTTAATTTTGTTATCCTTACTGGTGATGCATAAGGTGCCCCTATAATAACCTGAACGCACATTGGTCAAGTGCTCCATCTTGATTTCAGCATGTAATCACCAACTAAAATCACGCAGATTTCAGTATTTCAAGTTTAGTGTTCTTCTATGGACACTGTGATGCAACATTCTGAGAATCTGCCAGGCTTCACAGATTAACAGTTTTATCCCTAAACAAACAAGTTGGTATCTGTGATATCTATGCTTGAGCACTGTCTCAAGCAAGACTGACAGTGTCTGTTAAATAGCATCTCAGGGGCAAATCAAAATATAAATAATCAATGGCAGTACCTAGAAATGTCAAAATCAGGATTACAAATTAAAAACCCTCACAGCTCATCTATCTGTACCATGTAACTGGCATGAACACAATGTTGCCTCACAATTTCCACTAAGCATCACATCATAACACAGTATTTTACAACTAAGCATTTTTTTCCTACCTAAAAATAGCAATTAAAAATTATTATTATTATTATTATTATAAATTGCTGGTAGAATATAAAAAGCAAACACTTCCTTGTCCTGCTTTTCAGGATTTGAGTTCAGTTAGCATTATTTTCTCATTGATGTTTCAGTGTTTTTCTACTGTACACTTGAGTAGCCTCCACAGCTTTTTGGTGGTTTTCTTATAAAGGATTTTACTAGTCTCAGCAAAAGACTGGGATACTTCCAAAACTCAAACATGTGAGCCAGTTACGGAGTTGACTTTCTGTCATTGGACAGTTTATTTATTTCTCATTAATAATTGCTACAATTAAGGAACCATTTATAAACTGGTTACTTATGTTCACTTATTCCATGAAATCTCATAATCCATTCCTAGAGGATAGGGTAAGAGGAGAACAGCATTTTTTGCTATTCTTTTCTCACTGCTTATTTTCATTTCTCCTTCTTAAAGCTGGCAGAACAAAACAAACAAAAAAAAAGCAGAGATATTCTATTTTGCTTGGAAACACTGTCTCTTCAAGATTCTGGTTTATACTTCTTTCTTGTCTATGACCTATTTTGCAGAGTGATGAGGAGACCTTGCAACTTTTAGAATGTTATCAAGCAAAGGAACAGCAGTGCTGATGGCTAGCAGCTTCTAAGGAAGACAACTTGATTTTAAATATTGTTTCTTAACATTTAAAAGCATTCATATTTTGACGAAACCATCATCAAGGTGCTTGCTGTGAATCCACAGTGACCAGTGTCATCACCCTTTAAATGATGGGTTTGGTTATTTTTATGGATTGCCTTTTAGCTTAGTAAATAGTTGTCAGGTAACAGTCGACAGGACTGTGAGAGCCTTCCATGTGAAACTCTGGCTTTAAAATCAGATCACTGGCCTCATTACACTCGCTTTTGTCTTCAGATGACTTCCTGGTTTGATTTCAGCCAGCTGGAAAACTTTCATTTGCCTTGGTAGGTTGGATCTCTTATTCTTTGCCACCAACTTCTCATTGTTGATTTGTAAATTATGATGAGAGACCGTGAAATTAAACCATAACTAGTGAGAATATTCTAACATTGATACAAAGGATTAAAAAATACCATTTAACCTTCTTACTAACTGTAAGTCTTCAGTATTTAACACCAATTAACATCTTTGAATGTTAAAAAATTTTAATGAAATTTAACATTTAATGCCTAGGGGCACAGCCCATTCTCTGTCTCTGCATTGTGTGACAGAGTCTTGGTCTGGAGTTGGGTCTCTCTACATGACAGCAAAAATACCACTAACAAGGAGCTCCCTTCACAAAGTGCTCTTTCTTGGCACTTGAAGGCTTTTTCTACAATTGAAAATACAGACCCTGCAAGCACTGGGTCTGGGCAAATTGGCCCACTCATTTCGCTTGCATGTTTGGAGGGCTGAATTTAAAGCTTTGGTTATTTCTGTATGTTGGGAACCACATGTCATTTTGAGGGATTATATTGTTCAACTTGCCAAATATAGGGCTAACAATAAACAACCTTATGGTAAACCACAAGCTAAAGGTATTAAAATCACAAAAATGCCAAAATAACATATAAAGACATGAAAAATAATACTGGAGAAAAAAAATAGCAAATAGAAAATGTATCTGAGATTAAAACTCAAACTTTTCAGTTCTGTGGAGGCAAAAAAACCAATAACAGATATATGTAATGTAAGCTAAATACTGGTTAAATAAAAAAAATACAAACTAAAATATTAACACAAAATTGACAAGTTAAAATAGCATTTTTAAAAATTCCTGTTCAATCTATAAGAAAGAAATTAAGAAATCAAGAAAAATTATCTATAATTAGAAGATATTGAAGTTGATCTATTTCACCATATTTCAGTATTTCTCTGGAGGCCAAACTAAAGATGCTGGTGGACAAGGAGGGCTTTAGAAACATCACATCACTTTATTCTGCTTCTGATTATGGCAGATAGCCAGGCAGACAAGATGGAAAAGCCTTTCTGGCTGGATAGAGTGAATTTTCACAGATATGAGAGTTGGAAATAGTCTGATCAGATCTTCTCTGGAGTAAAAGGGCCAAACCCAAATCCCTACTTTCTTCACTGTGCCTTTGCAGGGTGGATTCTTTCTTTGAGTCTTGAGTTCAGGAAATTTCTTCTGCCTCCTGAATTGTACCATTTTTACCTAGTTCTTTCTAAGTCCTTCAAAACAAGAAAAAAAAATCTTCCTCTTAGTATTTCTGAATCTTTCCTTGAATATCTGCTCCTCAATGCATTCAAGCATCTTCCTCTTCTCAGGAGTGCCCTTGTCCTAATTTCAGCTGAAGGCTTCTTCCTTGCAGTCTCATTCTTTGCCCCACTTCATAGGCTTCTCTCAGCTTCAGTTACTTCTACCAATTACTTCTTTGGGCAGAAATTCTTGAGGAAAATGTTGCAGTTACTACTCCTATATGCAGATAAACATTTAAGGCCCTAATGTTCCCCTTAAGTTTCATGCACCTCACACATCAATGATGCTGTGAATACCATTGTAATTATCAGGGTCTGGTTAATAAGCTCTGTTTTCTCCTCCTTGCCATGGTATTTTGTATTAATATTTATTTTGGCCTCCAAACAAGAATATGTCTACACCAAGAACCTCTATCCTGTTTTTTACCTTTCTTTGAATAAAGCCCTTATTCTGTGGATTACAGCACAACACTTTTATACCCCCTTTTAAAATCACCATAAGCACACATGGCCAGTAAAAAGTGGAGTTCAGCGCCCCTATGGGACTGTAAAGACACATGGCAAGCCAGTCTGTGCAACCACATCTGTATTAGTACTGGCACAGGAGAGAACTTATAAACAGTGGAACTATGATAACATACCAGGGAATTACCAGGCTGCTAGAACTGGCATGCACACACCAACATGACAGCACAACTATTGATTTTTGATTTCAAGGGGGCTGGTTGGCTCACCCTCTGCATTAGCCACGGCTCTCCCACTTCCGTCCAGAGGGTGGTTTTCCACACGGCGTGATGTAGCCAAGGGTCTCACTGCCTGGGATTTATGTACTTTCAGTTGCTGCTAAAGCTCTTCTATTTGCCTTGGCTGTTGGAGCAGCGTACTTCAAGCTTCTGCTTTAGAGCTCTTCCTTATTCAGCACTTGTTACCAGGAGAAGGCAGGGAAGCCCGCCCCTGCAGCAGGCGAGATGAAATGAGTGCCTTTGCCCAGATTTTAAAGGAGACCGACACCTGCCAATTACTCCGATATGACTATACAGCTGTGTTTTTGATAACCCCTCCTTGGAAGCAAAGATCAGAAAGCCTGAGGTGAAGAGGGAAGTAAGAACAAAGCTCCTGCAGAGAGTAAGCATGGAGTAAGTAAAAGATTAGGGGTTTCTTTGGGTTTTTGGTCATTTGGGGTTTTGTTGTCGGTGTTGCACAAAACTAAAATCCCACTTCCCCAAAAAAACTCCTCGCCTTTGTTTTTCTTTCGGGGAGGACTTTTTCTTCCTTTCTTTATACAAAACTGACCCATCTTTTGGGCAGGGAGTGAACTTGCCATAGCTTGCCGCCAAGCACTTTTGCCTGGGACAGTGGGGCTCGAGGTGGGAGTGACTGCCTAGGCCAGCGCTTTCCCAGGCAGATTCCAGCCCATTTTCCAGGAGGAGGTACTGGGAAGTTGCACAGGATCAGTGAACTCTGCCCCTCAGAGCTCCACACTCCCTGGGGGGTGGTGTCCTGCCTCTGCTCTTGCTCCCTCCCATCCTCCCCTGCTGAGCTGTCGCCCTCACTTGCCAGTGGAGCTGGTCCAGCAGGTCATAAACATCAAAAACAATGTGTGAGCAGGCTTAGAGTGTGTGATGGGGGAATCAGCAGTGTACGATAATTAACAAGCCCTGCTTTCCTTCCCCTTTTAGTGTTTCAAGCCAAACTCCAGTTTTTGGAGGCGCTTTTTTTTTCTCCTGTGAATTTACAGGGATAAATACAAAGCATGATTTGCCCCGCATTTGCTTGGCTATGTTCTTCACAATTCCTCTTGCAGCCACGCCCATAGTTGCTGCTCTTTTGATCTCATTTATCTGCCCTCTTTCTGTCTCTGATTTTCCAGCCATGTGTTTTGCTCTTGTCCTGGCTGTAAGGAAAGGTGGCTGTTTCTAGATGAGTAGTTTAAAGCCAGAAGGCAAAATTAGAGCATTTAGACCAGGTAAATGCTTATCATAATGTGAAAATGCATGAGCTAATTTTCAGCCTAGAGCAAGACCATCCATCCCCTTCTGCCTTTGCTCTGAAGGCAGGATGCTGCTGTGCAGCAGCAAAGCCAGAACATAGTGACCATAATAAAATAAAAAATTTGGGTTACTTGCCATGTGAGTATTGCTTACTGACAATGCACAACACTAAGTGGTAATATAATGATGTAGTCATGGTACCAGATAACAAGTATTGATATTATTCAAGTCAGTAAGAGCTACATCCCCCCAGTAAGTGCTCTTGCAGCTGGCACCTGGAGAGTGCAGAATGGAAAGGGAAAAAAAGACAGACTACTGATCATCTCCTGATTCTGGCATCTGTCTTTCTTGCAAGGCCATCCCTTAAATTATGTGCCTTAGTGCCTTTTCTAGCTTACCAGCAGCAAGCTCTAAGCAAGTGACTGCACTCACATGAGTTTTTGTTTTCTTGTTTTATTCATTCCCTACTTGTTGTCTTTCCTCTCCTGAACATCTGTATACCTAGAAGCTATGGAAGAGAGAAAAGGTCAACAAGATGGAACAGTATGTGGCATATAGTATGTGGCATGTGCTTCCCCCAGAGCCATAATGCAAGCTGACATTAGCATTTTTAATTACATTTTAATATACTGTTTAATGAAGTGAAGCTGTTGAATAGCAAGTTTTTATAGAAGGTGAAAAGCAAGTGTTTATTTTTAGTCAACAACTAAGCAGAAAGAGACTTCAATATACCACCTGTAAATATTTATATATATATTTAATAATTATAATTCACTTTTGTTATATTTAAATAAATGCTTAAAAGTTTGGGGTTTTGTTCTGGTTTTGCATCAGGGTGTAAATAATTTCTTTCAGTATCTGAAGTTAGACGAAGAAAACAAGAAGGCAAATTATTTTGCTGTGTCCAATTACAGGCTTTTAGCACAATTGACAAGAGTTTATTCCAAATTTCTCTGTTGGAACTGGACCTCCCTTAACATTTTTAAGAATGAAAAATTCCTTTCAACTCTGGTGGATTCCCAGTGAGTGGTGGTAATGCCAGTCTTCTGCGGATAAGGGTGAAACATGGGATATGCCTGGCTTCAATAAATATTTTCGTCATGAGCAGAAATTTTTGAAGTGGGGGTATGTCTTTTTTATTCTCTGTAAGTTTTGTCTTTTTTTTCTTCACTGTCAGATATCAAGAAGGATTAACTCTAATCTGGGAATATATTCAATAAGTGAAATATTTGAAGGATGGGGGAACTACCTGAAGCCAAGCTGCAGGGGAAGAAGGAGCTTGTTGTCTAGCAGTTTCAGGTTTGCAGTTTGCTTTCTGTAAAGCAAAGCTGAAAAAAAACCAGAGTCTGCACAAGGCAGCTGGCTAAAAAAAGTTATATATCAGTATTTGGAGTTGTTACCAATCTATTTTGAGTTAGGTCCACCTACTTCAGCCACTTAATAAACCCAGCAAAAGCTTCTTTTGCTAAATCTCTTCAAGTGACTGTTGAGGCAGCTTCAGACTTTGTGGCATTCCTGGCAAGTGGAATGAATTGCACTGCAAGTTGATTAAGTCTTTATTAGTAGTTGGCAAATTTGGAGAAAGAAGTGGTAGAGCAGTCACGTGTAGTATCAGCTGCCGAAGAGACTAAGTTTTGGATAAGGTTTACAGATAATCAACATTATTTAACTAGGGGCAATGTGTCCACACAAATTTGTTCTGGCCAGTTTCTGCTGTTTGTGCAGAAAACATCACATCACCTTATTTGCTCTTATTTTACAGATTTGCTCTTATTTTACAGGAATGTTTAGGCTGAATTATTAGAGTCCTATGACCTTTTATGTAGAGGTATTAGACTGAATGATCGATGCTGTGTACTTCTGGTTGTAAAAGAAATAATGATGTTTTTAGTTAATAATAATGACATTTGAGAACACTTCAGCTGAAATTCAGTAGTAACAGCAATCAATAATTGGCTTAAGAATAATCAGGTCTATAAGACTAGGAAATCCATGGTTGCCTCTGGTGATTCTTCGTCTGGGAAGACTTCTAGTGAGAATATAACTCGGTATCATTCAGGGCCCCTTTTGTCTGTGCAAGAACTAATCAATCCACAGAATTAGTATTTTAAGATTACTTTTGGGTGATACGCAACAAAATTTATATAGTAGGGAGAATTATTAGTATTAAAACAAAAAGCAGTCTTGAAATAAAAAAGGAATGTTTTGATGAGAAGCAGCTTCTTCAAGGCAAGGGCAGTTTTCTCCAGCTTGTTTGAACTCTTAAGGTAAGAATCTTAAAATTAGCTTTAATTGAGCTCCTTTAGGTAGCTCTAAAAAAGCTGTCCCATAACTTATGTTTCTTTAGAATACTTTTCTTTTTTTCACTTAAGGTACACAGTCATGATTATATTGCACTCGGCTTGGTAACCTGACTGAATAATAAATAGCCTTGCTTGCAGAAAGAGTAGCTCCCTTTGTTTCTCTGCACAGATTTCTGCACTAATTAGTCATTTACTGTATTGTTTTTGACTGAGCTTTTGTTATCTCAGAATAAAATATATTTTTCCACTCTTGAATTATTTTTATATGGTTCTCTGCCATCTTCTCCAGTTCTTGAACTTCACTTTTAAATAGTACACTTTTGTTCAGTACACAGTTTGAACCCATATCTGCGAGGTAAAATCATAGTCATTTAGGTTAGAAAAGACCTCAAAGATTGAGTCTAACTGTTACCCTAACACTGTCCTTAAGTGTCACATCTACACATCTTTTAAATACTTCTAGGGATGGTGAGTCCACCACTTCCCTGAGCAGCCTGTTCCAATGCTTCACAACCCTCACTGTGAAGAAATTTTTCCTAATATCCAGTCCAAACCTCCCATGGTACAACTTGAGGTCCTTTCCTCTTATCCTTTCACTTGTTGATTGATCACTACAACCTCCTTTCGGGTAGCTGTAGAGAGCTATAGGGTCTCCCTTGTAAAAGGATAGAAGGATTGATTGAACTTTTTTTTTTTTACATCTGACATCACATTGCTGACTATGCTCAATTCGTTGCTTTCTATAAGCTTAATTTATTTTCAGGATTGGACTGCTACCTTACATGGCCATTGCTGCCATTCTATTCAGGTGAGAAGCTTCTGGCTTCTCCTTTAATGTATTTGCTTGTACTTGGAAGAATTAAAATTATTTTGTTTGAATTGAATAACTTTTTTTTCCCTGAAGCAACCCGGGGCTCAGAGGAAAGCAACCCCTGAAGCAACCCTTTTCCTGATACTTCATTTGCTTCAAGTTTTTGTTGTTCCTTTCTTTACCCTCATTTAGGAAATTAAACTCCATTAAAAATCACGTCATCATTGTTTCCCCCTCCCTTTTTTTTAATCTCTCCCTGACTGTGGGCTCCACAGTCCTAAAGCTGTCTCTCCCTTTGTAAAAACTCTCACAGAAGTAGTCTAAGGTGCGAGGCTCTTGCACAGATACAGCTTCCCTGTAAAATCTTGAAGGAGCAGATTTCTTGAATAGAAGGGTGCTATCATTTCATAATGCTGTCATTCTCTAAGTGTGCATTGAGTACAGCAGTATCACCTTAGAAAACAATTCCAAAGCAAACATAGGTACCATGTTTTATAGTTTAGTAGGTATTTTTCAACATCTGATTGCCTGTGCCAATAGCTTCTATTTTATCCTCTGAAGATCATTGCGGGAGCTCAGTTATGGTGTGCATATTACATCTTGTAAACAAAAGTTACATAATAGTTGCCTGTATTTTCCTAATGCTTTGCACTTAGCTGATTCATTAAGCAGATGTTGTAAAGTCCCTTAGTAATACTAGCTGACAAATGTTTGTGGGGTTTTTTTAATATCTTCATGTTTTTAAGCAAGGAGATCTATCTCAAGTGGAAACCTCTTGCTATGACTCTAATATGATTATTTCCAGAAATAGTATTCTAGGTAATTCTAAAAAGGTTTATATATGTATATGTGTATGTATCTATATGTATGTTGTGTACTCTATTCTCTTTCCCTATGGCTTTCAAGGTTTATTGGTGTTTAGCAAATAAATATACTTTCAGTCTCCCTCAGTGTATTGCTGAAAGATGATCACTTTGAGGCCTGACTATGGTTATTTTATAATGTACAATAATGCTACAGCTTAGGATATGGACTTGGAACTGTAAGCAGTATGTTAACTGAGATGGAATTTGTCCTTGACAAATTAATCCACAAACAGGATTATCACAGGGATCAGAAAGTATATCACAGGGATCAGAAAGTATCCAGCACTTAAGTATGAGAAAACCAAGTGCTAGCATTGGACTGCAGACATAAGTAAAAGCAGATTTCATAATTTGCTTTTTTCTTTTACCCCATTTTTCTTTTTTTTAACAGGACAGGCAGAGCTGGAGAGCACTACTCTTGTCCTCATCTTGGAAAGAAGAATGCCTGAGTGACTGAAATGGGCTGTCAGGGTCCTTTTTGAGACCTTCCCAATGCAGCTTTAACTGAATGTATTGGCACTCTGAAAGGATTGACTATGCCAGTGTTAGGATTCACTATGCCAGTGTTATGCCCTGAAACTCTTAAGAGATACAACACTGGCAAACAGAAAAGTCTCCTTTCCTTAAAATGAATATTCCTTGTAGAGATGGAAATAGCCCACAGCGCATCTCATGCAATCTTTCACCACAATTCTGTACATCACTGTTGTAATTTAGTAGTAGAATGCACAAAAAGACCCCAAAGAACTGGAATTGTGCTATTGGATAATAAAATTCCCATAGCCACTGGTTAATTATTTACAATTGGGTGATGACAGTCATGTTTATAGATAATCCGATGTGTTGTGTTTGCCTGTCAGAGGAGATGGTTACTAATTCATTCAAAAACATGTTTTTGCAGAGAAGATCTTTCCATCAATATGGCAAATCCTGAAAGGATTTGCAGGAGCTGTCTGTCTTTTCTAGAGGTTTGCTGCTGCCCCATGTCTTGCAAAGTTAGTACATATTGCAATGATAACTGAAAATATCAAACCAGGATTAGGTTTTAAGGCTATTGATGAGCCATATTTAATTGGAGAAACACATTCTAGGCATATTTATATGAAAATTCTGGTATGTATGTGTAAAAATGTAAATCCTAGGTTTTTTGCACCAGATATTTATTATAGTTGATGATGGTATGGGGCCTGGTTGGCATCTTACAATGGCAGAAGAGGAGATGGCTTCAAGTTCAGGTGTTCTTGATTTGTAAGGGAAGTATTGTTTACGTTTTTCCACTTCCCTTCCAAATTAAAATTAAAACTGCTTTACTCACTGGAGACAAGACATTCAAAAAAATGCCAGAGTGACTGTGGAACATAACCTGAATTTTCATAGAATTTGTGAAACTTGGAAACACTAACTGTTCTCAGCTCCTAGAAGTTTTTGATACATTTTGAAACCTATGCAACTGATTCAAAATGAAAATTCCTGAGCCAAATTAATGACAGGGTTTCTTGTCTTTCTATAGAAAGGCTGCTGTGGCCTCAGTGACTAGAGTTATTTCAGTTGTTGAGATGGAAGAAGTGAAACTGGAAGTAAAATTCTGTTCCTCTGCTTCCCTCTGAAAGTGTGACTGGTCAATAAAGTTTCCCAATACTCTCCAACACTTACAAATTATGCATATAAAAAGTAATTTTTTGTGTTTCAGGAGGTACCTCCTAATATCATTGACTTCATGTTTATTCTGGAACACATTTGGCTTCAGTGCAGCTGTGGACTCTAAACCCAACATACTTCTGTTTCTGGCTGATGATCTTGGCATTGGAGATATAGGTTGTTATGGGAACAATTCCATAAGGTAAAATATTTCATACAATATATTTAACACTATAGAATACCTATCCTGGGGAATTAAGCCTAATTATTAAAAAAAAAAAAAAAAAGAAAGAAATGTTCTTAATCTATTAATCCAAGACTGTAGTAATTGTGTATCTAAGTACTTGTATATATGTGCATAGTATTGGGGCCTAAATAAACAATGTGATGTGAAGAAAAGAAGTATAATATTTTCATTTTGTTTTTAAGTTTGTTCTGGGAATCCCTTTCCCCTTGACCTCAAAATGTGCCAACTCCTCAACCACTTGTTTTTGTACTACAGTTACTGTTTTCTCTTCTTCTCATGCATGAATTTCTTCGTTCCTTTCCATGCATAGTTAAGCCTTACACTATTCACCCAGTGCCTTTCCAGAATCCCTCATACACTTGTTTGCTGCCTTCTCCAAAACACTACAAGCCAGACTCACATGGACTGACCCACATGAGTTATTACATGATTATGTGCATTAGAAGCTAGTGATTACATTCCTTAAAAATTAAAGAGGCAAAGCAGGAGTGAACATACATCAGGGGCACATCTTACGAGCCTCGTGTTGTGTTCTCCAAGTGGAGCTCAGATGTTTTGTTGGCATGCTCTGAGTGCATCTCTCTCACATGGTGTTGGTGGGGTTATACAGAGATATGGGAATGTGCTTGTGGGACTCTGTTGTGCTTCTCTGCCAGGAGTGAGGTCTCTCACTCTTCATGGTGTTGTAGTTCACTCATCCGGAAGAGCTGAGCTCCCATACAGGTGTACCTGTGTAAAGATATCAACCTATTATGATATAAATAGCATGATTTAAAAACAAGGAACAGAAAGTCCTGGTTTAAAGAGCTCCAGACACCCTGGGGAGATGCTCTGGCTCAATGAATTGTGAAACTTAGGGTCCAAATGCTCTGGCAAAAGCGATCTGTTGAAAGTACTGAAATAGAAAAATATCAGTCTTTCTTAGATAATCTATTTTAAAACTATTTTAGTTTTATCTTCAAACTAAACAGTTCCAACAATGCCTAAATGTCTTTGCAGTGTTGCCAGGTGCATTCTAAGACTGTGTTTCAAGAATGGATTCTCCAGTGGCTACAACCCACTTCACCCACTGTATCAAACTTGTTACTATACCAGTCTTGGAGTATTAAAGACTTTTTGGAGGGGAGGGGGCAGCTGTTTAAAAACTTTGGTTCTTGACAATTTATTTTGCTTCTCTTAAACTTGTAACTGTTTTTTAGGACCCCAAACATTGACCGCTTGGCAAGAGAAGGAGTGAAGCTTACTCAACACATTGCTGCAGCTTCGCTTTGCACTCCGAGCAGAGCAGCTTTCCTCACTGGCAGATACCCCATTAGATCAGGTTTGGCCCATTTTGAATTACAAATTTCTTTGCCTGGTGCTGAGAAGCTACAATAGCCAATAAGTACTGGAATAGGAGAACTGAGGCTATTTTCTCAACCTGAGACAGAAAATGCACTGTTAGATGCCCAAAGTCTCTTTCCAGCTGACAGAGCTTTAGCCTTACTTTATAGGATGTAGAAGATTTAAATAATGAAAATAAATAGGTATGGAGAAATCCAACAGCAGTAATATCTGTCACTTCCTTACTGCAACACAGCCTGGGGTGCAATCTGCCAGAATCCCTCTTGATGGTTATGGTTATAAGTAAGGGTTTAAAACGGGGTTCTCAAGAGAAATAGGCAAGTTCATTGCCAACATGTTGCACAAAGTCAAAAAGCTCCAGTGAAAATGGAGATTGGATTCACTCCCCACCTTTCTAAGGTGCCTTATGGAGAACTTTATAGATATTAATCTCTCACTAGGTGGTATATAGGAAAATTAGATACCTACTTTTTAGAACTAAGTGCAAACTCAAGTGTGTATGTTTGGTGAACTGTCTCCTGCCTAGCATGATACAGCATCCCTCTGAGTTAGGGAAATGCAACTGTTATCTCCTAGTTTAGACTGTTATTCACAGATACTCAGAAAGTCAGAAAATAAAATTTACTATATACAATCACCATTGATTTATTATCAATTTGATGTCAAAACTGGTGTCAAGCAATATTTGTGTTGCAATACAACTCCTGAGTACCTGAAGTGCCTAAGGCACACTATTGATAATGGGATGTGACTGCCTACCAGACATGCTTTGCTTTATATCTCATGAGGAACTCTGCTGGCTTGAGGTTGAGCTCCTGATGCAAAGATTGGCAGGAGCAGCCCAGGCTCTGTCAGCAGGGATAAAAAGGCTCACAGGACTGACCACAGCAATTTCCATCAGGGATGGCATCCAGCAACAGGTACCGAGCGCTGCAGTGGAACGCTGGGTCAGGAGGGCTCCCTGCTAATGAGACAACATTTGCCAGGCTGCTGCAGCAACAAGGCTACACCACTGGACTGATAGGTAAGGGAAAATGTTTTACCATGACCTTGAAGAATGAACTAGTTATATGAAGGGAATTTAGGGATTGTTTTATCATGGAATGGTCTGTTAGTCACAGATACAAATCCTCTCCAAAAGGTTGAGGGGGTGAAAATCCCCATGTTTTGAAAGAAGACTAAAAATACTGCAGTTTTAACACGATGGTAATGCCTGTACAAGCTACCCAAAACAGGAAGAATGAAAAACTGTCTCATAATTATAATGGTGAACATTTATTTTACTTGTGAGAGTTTTATTAACATAGAGACTGCTCCAAACAAAATAATGTCTTTAAGTATTTTGTCTGCCTTTAGGAGGCAAGAGGCAGAGAAACAAAAGAGAAAGGGAGAGAAAGGAGCAAAGTTTGTACCACAGAGCAGATCACAAAGCACAAGCACCTCACAGATGAGGCTGTTGAGTCCCAGAGACATGATACGGTGGCTGTTTCCTCAGATGAAGCCAAACTGCAAAGGTGTCAGGGAAACACTGTCCCACAACACCTTCCTATCTGTGACTTTGATCAGACACAACAGTTTCAAGATTCGTTGTTCTTTTGCCAAATATCTCTAAAATCAACTGGCAAAATTTCTTTTCCCTTTCATTCACTTTTTTTCCTGTCACATTTTATTGTGACAGGCACTCCATGATGGATCCCTTCACATAAATGGGTAGATAGGGTAAGCACTGTGTCCTTTAAAATCGGGTGATTTAGGGCCAGCTGTGCCAAATGCATCATCATTTCCAAGTGCTAGAAATAGATGTGGCGGCATTGAACCACAAGCTTTTTGGCTGTCTCTGTAATCAGCTGGCAATCACATAACTCGGCAAACCAAGGGTCTTTTGATTCAGCACACTTTCAAAGCAGACAACAGCTTCTTTTTATGTTTTGGGCGGGGATAGAGTAAGACATTGGTTTACAGCTTTTTCTCTTTTCGTGTGGAGTACGGACATGCTTGAGACATTCTCTTCCTGAGTCTGGTGATCAAAATGTTTGTCAACATTGCCCAAAAGTTTACTGGATCTTTCGGTTATATCTTCTATATGTTAATCTATGAATTGAAAGTTTGGAAGGGAGCATAATAAAGCCATCACCAAGTTAGAGTACATTAATTCTTTGGTCCTCACTGAAAGATAATGAAATCCTATCCTTATGTGACCCTTGTCACCCCAGTAGTTGAGAATCTCACAAATTTATCTGTTTATTGCCTGACCACTTAGGGGTCACCCGTTACAGTATCATGTTCACCTGATCAGGCACTGGTTTCACTCAGCATCCTTGTGCATGAGGAGAATGCACGGACATTTTGTGGAAAAACTGAGTGACTCGCCTAATTCCCAAAGAGAGGCTGACACTGTTACCTTGAGCTCCTTTTGAGTTGTTCACCGCAATGTTCTAATTTCTTTCATGCTTTAAAACCTTCAGGAAAGTGGCATCAAGGTGTAAACTGTGAATCCTTCAATGATCACTGTCACCATCCTCTCAATCATGGGTTTGACTACTTTTATGGAATGCCTTTAACACTTCGAAACAACTGTCAAAAAATAGACCTCCAGACCTGGATGCAACCCTTCAAGCTAAGCTTTGGCTTTACAGTCAGATAATTACCCTTGCTGTGCTCACTCTTACTGCTGGAAAACTGACTGGTTTGATTTCCATCCGCTGGAAGACAATTGCCTGTGTTACTTTGGTGGGCAGCCTTTTCTTCATTTCTTGGTATTCCAGTTATGGCTTTGTGCAGTATTGGAACTGTATCCTGATGAGGAACCACGATGTCACTGAGCAGCCAATGAGGTTAGAGAGGACTGCTTTCCTCACGCTGAAGGAGGCAATATCATTTATCAAAAGGTCTGTACTTTTCTGTAAAGGAGCTGGGATGTGCTGGGCACTTTAGGAATAGAGTTTTTCTCACTAGTAACTATAACTGTATCATGAGAACTGCTTATTTCTACACTTCATTCTACAAGCCTCATTTGTGTTCTTTTTCATAAACCTTACAAAATACTGAGATAAAATGTGTCTGATGCATGAAATTATTACATGTTAAAATATCAAAACACTTGAAGTCTATTTTTATGGATTGAAAAGGAAGCCAAGTAAGGTTGTTCAGTTTCTAGATTCAAGTTTTTCCTGCACAGCTTTCTATATTTTTTGCACCAAATGTCTTAAAGTACAGGGAAAGTAACTACTCTTCTACTTTGCGAAAACAAACATAATGAAAATTATAGGTGGCCATCTTAAAAAAGCCACACGAGTATTAAAGTAAACATGAGACTGTATCCAGTTGTATTTAATTAAAAAGTCAACAGAGTTAAGCATCTGATTTATTTAAGCACTGTGCAAATTCTATGCCTGGGTACACACTGGAAATTGAAAATGATCAGTCTGAAAAGGATCTTTCTTGCCCACATTTCATGTAAAAAGAGAACTCATCTGTGATCAGTGAGGATGTGCTAGATGTGAGTATAGTCTATACCCAGTGTCTGTGTCTGTGCATAGATATGAAATCTTTCAAAATATTCCAAACACACACAAAAAATATTTTTTTTTTTGTTCTTAAGAAACAGGCAAGGACCATTCCTACTCTTTGTTTCCTTTTTACATGTTCACACCCCCCTCTTTACCACGGCAAAATTTCTTGGGAAGAGCTGTCATGGTTTATATGGAGACAATGTAGAAGAAATGGACTGGATGGTGGGTAAGTATTCTTCATGAAGGATATGTTTCAGACACATACAGCTGTATATTTTAAAGCAGAAAAACTTATAAGGCCAAAATACTTACAGAAATGTAAGCTATCAAAAACTTCTTATGGGGCACTGTGAAAGATTATTATTGAAACATTTTAAGTGTGTCTTGTTCTTTCCAATTTGTTGATAGAAACCTTGCTGTCTGTCTTCTTAAATTTAAGGAAAAATTCTGGATTTGCTTGATGAAGAAGGTTTGAAAAATCATACATTCACATACTTTGCCTCTGATCATGGAGGACACTTGGAGGCTCAGAATGGGTCTGCCCAGCTAGGTGGCTGGAATGGTATTTATAAAGGTAGGAAAATCACTGTAACTTTGTATGAAGGTTAAAATCGGAAACAAGGAATTTGCTTGGATGAAGCCAGCAAAGCTGGAATGAGTTGCATTTTTAGCTTGAAATATAACCGAATAGAGTAAGGGCACGTTGTGTCAGGACTGGTTGCAACAATTTATTCTTTGTATCTTTTTATATTCCACCCAAAATCAGTGATTGACATAAATTCCAAATGGTCTTTCTGGTCTAAGAGGATCTCACTCTTTACCTCTTGCTCAGCCCTTTCTTCTGTGAACTATGTGAAATACGAAGTATGTGAAGTCCAAAGAAAGCAAAGAGTTGAATCTGTTGGATAAGCAATGTATTCCTGCATCTCTTTCTGTGCACTCATATGAAACAAGCCAATGAAGAGGTTTGTGTTTGCCTCTGAGTTCCATGTGTTGATTCATTTTACTGCAGGCGGAAAAGGCATGGGAGGCTGGGAAGGAGGGATCAGTGTGCCAGGAATATTTAGGTGGCCAGGAGTACTACCTGCAGGCACAGTTATAGATGAACCTACAAGTCTTATGGATATTTATCCCACAGTAGTTCATCTGGCTGGAGGAATACTGCCACACGACAGGTATGGAGGTGTTTACCACTGGAGAGCTAATGACTAAAAATTGACTGTTTCTTATCATCCTTGGAGATCCCACAAATGCTCCTTTGCCTAAAGCCTAGCCTGAGATTTTAAACAAGTGAGTAAACTCTCACAGATATACACACATAGGCATGCATGTGGCCAGAGCAGTTGTTCCTTCCAAAGACCTGGTACCGGTTTCAAACACAGGTTCAGCCTCATTCAGGAAAGATTTGGTGGCTGAGGTTGTGTTGGCACCAATTGACTTGATTTACAGACACTTACAAGTACCTCCTAAGTTTGTTAAACCCATCTTGCTCAACAGATTTCTTTAAGTTCCCTTGAAAGTCACAAAATGTTAACAGTTATGTGATCACTATTGATTTAAGGAATAAATTACTTCTTTCTGCAAGACCGAGCTCTAAATATTGTTTATGTTCTGCTAAATGAAATCAGTTGAGCCAGACATTACAAGAAATAAAATAAATAAACTGAAAAAAAAAGCTAAAAAATCTAGGTATGTAAATATTGGTTTGGCAGTCTGCTGGCTGCTCTAAATCTATGACCAAATTATTCTGTATGCTCCCTCAAGCACTAGCACAGCCAATGCAAAAGCAGTCCTAAGTATGCAGTTCACTGTCAGGTTTGCCCCTGCCTGACTGTGCTTCTCTCCATTACATTAGGGTGATTGATGGACAAAACTTGCTGCCTTTACTGCAAGGAAGAGCTCAAAAGTCAGATCATGAGTTTCTATTTCACTATTGTGGGTCCTACTTGCATGCAGTGCGGTGGCACCAAAAGGACAGTAAGTATAAATGTTTGTTCCATGGTAACCGCAAAACATGATTTTTTTCCTCTTGCTAATTGACAAGTTTCTTGTGTGACTGTTGTTTTTCAGTACTGAGATTCTTGAAATGGTTATGCATGACATATCACTGACTAGCTAGCCAGAGATGTCTTAAAGCAATGAAGTTTTTGTAAGTAACAAAGGGAGTGCCTTAAAGTGGGATGAGAATACAGGCACTGGAACTCCCACACCGGAAATTCAATGTGGTTTTTTTCATATTTATAGAGTTTTCCACCTTCAAAGTCAGTAGCTACACAGATAATCTGATTTGTGGTATTGAGGGTGCCAGGGTGTGTGAGAAGAGGTCTCCTTAGTAAATAGCTCTATTCCTATTGCTTCAGGGAACTTTCCGGTTTTTTCTATGGTCTTGTAGTTGTGCCATAACATTTCTTTCCAGGTGGAGCTATCTGGAAGGCTCATTTTGTGACTCCAGTCTTTCATCCACCTGGAGCTAGAGCTTGTTATGGAAAAAAAAATTGCCCGTGTTTTGGGGAAGGTGTGACCCACCATGACCCTCCATTGCTGTTTGATCTCTCACGAGACCCTTCTGAAGCCAAACCTCTCTCGGCTGACACTGAGCCCCTCTTTGACACTGTCATAAGGACGATTGGAAGAGCCATCGAAGAGCATCACAGGACACTGACTCCAGTCCCAGAGCAGCTCTCTGTGTACAACGTGGTGTGGAAGCCGTGGCTGCAGCCATGCTGTGGGACATTCCCATTCTGCTGGTGTGATAAGGAAGGAGACAGCACACGAATTCTGTGAGGTGTGTGTTCTAGTGACATGTTCTGTGGCACTGAGTCCTCTGCTGACAAAGCTCTCAGATAATAATTGTGTTATTTCTTTCTCTGGGAAGCAAAGTGGATGAAAATAAAGAAAAAAAAAAAAGCAATGTCAATCAGAAGTTTTCCCTTTCATTCTTTGCCACTGTGAAAGGTTTAAGGAAGTCCTGGTTTTGCAGTCTCATGTGTAAGAGAAAACTGTAGAGGTACATGCCTAATCTCTGACTAGAGATTATGCCTGCTCAAAGAAGACAGTTGGAGAATGCTGCAGAGAGCCTAGTGTACAGTGCTGAGCAGGCAGCAGTAAGAAATGCTAGGTTCACATAAAACTCTAGATGTTTGCAGTTGTGCCTCTGTAGTACACAAATCATGGTTGCACTCTATCCAAACATAGTAGTTTGAGTTGTTACTGCTTCCTGTACTGCTCTGTTGTCTCTGTAGAAACATTGTTGGGATGCTGAACAACACTTGAGATGGAGTGAATCTGATTTAGCAAGGGAGTGTCCTCAAGTTGTGAACTTGTGATCTGAAGCTTTAGCTGGGTAAAAATTACCTACATAACAGACATTGTGAAGTACAAAATGTTGACATGCAGTATACCTCTGCAAAAGTTACAAAAAAGAGAGAAGCGTTTTTCTCTTCAGAAAGAGGTTCTGTTGCATACTAATTTGGCAAAAGCAATTTTATTGCATTTAAGATACTAATAAAAATGTTTTGGATTAATAGTTGGCACTGTTTCAATGCGAGTCCTAGAAAAACAAGGTTCATCTGAGTATTGGAGAAAAAAAATATTCAGTAGCAGTATACATATTTTTACCAACTATAACTTGTATAAAGAGATCATGCCAATACTAGTTAAAAAACCCACAAAATAAACAAAAACTAAAAAAAAAAAAAAAAAAAAAAACCAAAAAAAAAAAAAAAAAAAAAAAAAAAAAACAAAAAAAAAAAAAAACCAAAAAAAAACCCTACAGTGCTGTGACCCTAGCCTGAATTTCTAAGAAGACAACTTTGCACTGCATTTTGCAATGAAATTACACAGATTTTAGGGCTTTGAAATGTATTAATGGCTGTATTTTTGCACGAGTAGACGAAGTCAGAATTCATCATAAGCCTCCTGCTATAATTCTAGATAAACTGGTGGTTGAATTTAGTAAATGGAAAAAGGTTATTGTAGTTGGTTTGTTGTTTTGCTTCCCCATCAAATATCCCTGCAAACAGTTTACTTGTTCAGCTAGTTTAGTTGGCTAACACTTTTCTTCTTATCTCTTAGTGATTTTTTTCCGAAGTGGGGCGTAGAAATGATTTTACGAAATTTTGTATGTCATTTCAATATTTATGTTTTTCACTACTCTAAGTTCCCTTAGAAAACTTGTCAAAGAGAAAAGGGACTAAATAAATGCCAGTGATTGCTTTTAGTACTCAGAGTGCAAAAAGCCAGAAAGAAAACATCAGTATAAAGCACACGGTGACTCAAGTTTTTACTGGCAGAGAATTTGCTTGTGTGAACAGGGAGTAAACAGCAGCTTCCTGTGCTCAGGCACAGTGAAAAACTGGTTAGCTGAAGAGCAGGAAATACTGCAGGGCTCAAACTGCAGAGATAAAAGTCGTCTCCTTTCTGCTTCAGTGTTACTTCTTTACCTTTTTTTTTGTTGCTAGAAAAAATCTTTGTTTACAATTTAGTTCTGTTTCAACAACAATTAATCACAACTGTTATCTCTGTACTGGCTCACTAACACAGTGGTGAGGAATAGAATGCAAGATGTTTGCTTCCAGATAGTTTTGTTAGCAGGGAAAAATGAAAAGGTGTGGAATTTTGGGGGAGAGGAGGAGTGGTGGGATATCAGTTTGCATTTTTAAGTCATGCCAGCACCAACATGGGCACATCTTCAGTAGTGAACACATGCTGAGAATGATGCAAATGTCTAGAAAGACTGAAAAAAAAGTTTAGTCATAATTTGGACCAAAGCCAGGTGAAAATTAATGCTTATATTATTGACAGTGTTCAAAGATCCACCTTTCCCAAAGCATGATGTAATTTTTGATAAATATCATTTTTTCAAGAAAAATCTTTGCACCAGAAGCATCACAAACTGTTAAGCAGTCACAGCAAATAAGTATTATAGTCAAATAGATATGAGTAAAAGTAGCCCCATGTGACAACTTATACTACATTCAGTTATTTTTGTAAGTGCAAGGAGGTCAACAAATAAAAAATCTCCAGCCTGGGTTATCCCTGCCACAGGCTTATATGAATCTGATAGTTTAAGCTGCTTCAACTTTCCACCTCACTGGCTCCTACTGACTTCTCTAGAACACAGTCTTAAATTCAGCAGTCACTGTATTCAAGTAACTTGGAGAACAGAAATGTCAGCAAATAGAAGGAGCTCAACCATGTAGTTGCTAAAGACCTTTTAACTGTTAAATGTATTACAACAGAGTTAGGACATGAAAGAAGGGGGGTGAAGACTAGATGTTCAGTTTTGTGGTGTAGGGAAAGAAAACAAAATTTAGGTATGTCTACCTTTCTGGAAAATGCAACAAAAACAAAAAGACAACATGATAGAAGAAAAGAGGGAGGACAATCCTTTTATCCCGTCTCAAAGGCTGAAAAGGCTGTGTGGGAGAACCAAAACCCTTTATAGTATCTCTTGCTATTATTCATAGCATCTCTTTTAAAGCACTGAAATAGAGCAGTGAGAGACTTTATACAAATATGCACAAAATAAACTGGATAGGAAATCTAGAAAAGGCAGTATGCCAGTATTTCAAGAATAAGGACTTTGTACTCCGCCCGGAATTCATGTCAAATCTGCACAGCAGTTCCAGTTTGCTGACTGTTGCTGGCAGGGATCCCAGGTGGTGTTCATGCTGGAGGCGGGGGGAAGGGAGAGCAAGAGGAAAAGGAGCAAGTCCCAGCCCACTTTTGCCCACTCACTTCTTACAGGATCAGGACTGCTCGGCACACCAAGGAGCAAGAGGGATTTCGGAACAAAAAGAGTAACTGAGACAAGGGTTTGTTTGTTTTCCACATGTAAAAAGGTGTTGGCCTTTTTTATTAGTCCTGATGATCATTTATCGTGGCTTACTGGCTTACAGAGGGAATTACTATCTGACACATTCTTGGATTTCTCTAAGAAATTTCTGATTTCTAGCAGCTGCTGTTAGTTTTATGAATCTGTTGCTTTTTCATTTAACAGCTAAGGAAAACTAGAGCCCAGTACCGGCTTCATCACATGGTAGCACTGTCAGTAAGAGCTCTATTTTCAGAAGGAATCAGAACCTAACAGAGAAATGTGAATACACGTATTTAAATTGGGGGGGTTGTTTAATGTGTGGTACTTCTTCTACTCCTTCAGTAATAGCAATGCTCCTAAAATGGTTTGCAGTAAATCATTGCCACAGCCAATGGTATTAGATCAAAGTATCTTTTTAATACCACCAGTGCACCTCCCTGGTTCGAAGTTCACAGTTTTCCTGAGGGGCTGTACAAAGTCTCTGTCTAAATACTGACACGCGCGCTGTGACCAGCTGGCTATGGTGCAAGAACCTGGGGGAGAATGTGTACAGCAGCAGAGCTATTGTAGCCGCTTTGAAACCTTATCAACTCCCTGGAAACTCAAGGGATTTCTTAAATGTTCAGATCTGTCTGGTTCTTTTGCTCCACTACAACTCACAAGGGGTATGATGATCCTCCACTGCTTGCTATAGACTGAGAACATTTTCATTGCAATAGTTTTAGCTTAATCATGTACCACAAGCTCTTTAAATGCAATGCTGTCTAACAGTTGCTGGAAAGGCAGAGCTCTGCCACAATTGTTAAAGCATCTTAAAGATATCACCACTATAGATGATGACCAGAGCCATTGCTCATTCTTTATTCTCACATGTTAATGCCGTCATGCACTTGCCTGATCATCACCCCAGCTCTGTCCTGTAGGACCACAGTTCATCGGGGTTTCAGGGGAACTGCAGTCAGGCTGTGATAATGAAACACTACTACGCTGCCATCTCAAAAAGATTTGAGATCCTAGTAATTAGTCCTTTGCTTTTCAAAGCACAATATTGGGCTTCAGGCATCTGCATCCGCAGTACAGTCTTGCTTCAAACAGTCACTGCATAGGGTCAGAGAGGTCTTGCTGCTTCTCCATTAATCTCTGACTCAGCCACTGGGCAGGGAAGATGAACTGTCAGTAATGTCTTTCAAGATCTTGCCAACTGCAAAGGGAAACATCAGCGCTACAGAAAATTCTGTAACTGACAGCAATCAAGTTTGTTGGGTTTTTCTTGACTTTTTTTTCTGTTTGTTTCTGTGTTTGTTTGTTTTATTGTTGGGGGGGAGGGTTGTTGTTTACTTGGGTTTTTTTCTTTTGGTGGGTTTGTGGTTTTCTTTGTGGTTTTCTTTGGGGTTTTGGGGGGGTTTTTTTTGGGCTTTTTGTATTTTTTTGGTGGTGGTATTGGTTTTGGTTTTGGTTTTTTATTTCCCATATTGTCTCAGCCATAGCCAAACAAGCATCTAGATGTTACTTGGACAAATCATCAATGGACTCCAGGTTCTGACTCTTTTAATACTGTTCTCCTGGTCAAAATAACAATATCTGCAATTTTTTAATCTTATGGTTCATCCTTTGAAATGTACAGGGAGGATTATACTCTGGTCTGGCCAGTTTAGTATTCCTTAGACATTCAAGAACACTGTTATATACTAAAAGGGCAGAAAAAACATTCTCAGAAAATACTATATTTTCCTGCTGATTTTTGGAGGAAAAAAAACCCACAAGTCTTTCATTAGTCCAGATGAAACTTTTCAGTTCTCTGTGTTTAGAAGTGACTGTTTACAAATGGGTTTTGAGTTGTTATAGAAAGTAAATATTATAATTACTTTCAATCTGTTCCTTAATACAGCTGACGACACCTTTGTTCTTGTTCTGTTTTGAAATGGAAAGAAGGGTTGAAAAGCAGGGATTTTGCATGGATAGGATATTTCAGATTTTTCTATCCCTTTTCACAATGAGGGAATGAATAGCATATCTAATTTAGCACAATGTACACCACGAAGGAGAGCATGTACCAGTCCTC